ACTGAATTTTTCAAAATTTTTTAAAAAGTATTTGCTGTCCGGATTCGTTATTTTACTTGAGTTGGGTCTAAAAACGGTTGAGTTGGATTCAGCATGAAATTCTGCATCGAATGATATCGATTTAGTATGGGGTCATCGAGCAAAAATTTTTCACCTCACCCAGCCACACCCCCTCATGGTGACCCTCACCCTCACCCATATGAAAAATTTTTTCCCGATGACCCGTACTAAGTCGATATCATTCGATGCAGAATTTCATGCTGAATCCAACTCAACCGTTTTTAGACCCAACTCAAGTAAAATAACGAATCCGGACAGCAAATACTTTTTAAAAAATTTTGAAAAATTCAGTATTTCGGGGTCAGGTGCTAGGTTTTGCTCGATGACTCCCCTTGATCATTACACCATCGGATTCGCCGTAAAATTCTGCACCTAACTCAAGTTGAACAAAATATAACTCAAGTACACGAACGAATCCGGACAGCAAAAACTCGAATCTGGTGCTAACTTTACCCACGTTGATTTCTTATTGATTTGTTGACATTAAAAAGCATCTAGTTTACTTTAGTCTTGAAAAAAAAGATGGATGCCTTACTTGGAATATCATACCGTACAATTTTTAGTACTTTCTACACTAAAATTAATAAATATTCGAGTTTTCCTAGTGATCAAGTTTCACAATAAAAACATTCGCACATAGACCATATATCTAGACAATCGATATAAATTCTAAAGATAGATTCTTTCTAGGTTGATCTTGAAAGATGAGTCTATACTTGTGTCATTGCTTCATCTAAACTTTAAACGGGTACTATCAGCCGAAGTAGCTAAAAACTCAAAGTCTAAAAGAAAAAACAACTTTCGTGAACAATTAATGGATGATGAAGGAAAAACCATCTACAACAATAAGAAACGATGAAGTTGAGCTACCGTCAAAAGAGAGTTTTCGACAACAGATCAAGCTTTAATTCAAGGAAGATCTAATTTAGACTCAGGAACTTATTAAATTGTTTTATTTTTTCGCTTGAAAGAGATTGGATTAGATTGATTGATTTCGAGCCATTGGTTTTTCGTACTTTTTTGCCTAGTTTTTGTACTCGTGTGTTTGTGTCTACTTTTTTCAATATGTGGTCCAATAAACTACATGATCAAAGGATGAGAATATCCGAAGATCAATGATTCCAGGCTCTGGAAGCAATAGGACTTCACTGAAACAAACCGGAAAGATGTGATAAAACACTGGAAATCGATAAAACTGGAAAGTTTTCGGTTCTTTTCAAAATGAATTCCGGCCATTTCTAGTGGAAAGAAACAGAAAGCTGGCAGGAAGACTTTGAGGATTTAGAAGGTGTGGGTGTGGGTCATATCTCCAACCATACACATTCTCACACCCCCAGGATACTCACATTATAAAGTAGATACAATTTATAGCTATTCAAAAGGAAATGATTTACTCTGTTTTCTTTCTAAATAAAAGTCGGTTTGAAAATATTTTAGCACAAAAATATTTATTGTCGAAGACTACTTAAGTTTTCTACTCCATCCTTCGTTATATAAACAATTTATCATCGATTTATATCATTATTCAGTTCACAGAGATATGCGAGTACAAATACAATTTATACTCTGAAAACAATATCATCCCTAAAAATCAACAATTTGAGAACTTATATTCTCTTATACCATTTAATGACTGGTATGATAGACAGAGGCAATATTAGAGGTATACATCTGTAAATTGGATTTGGGAGAAGAATAAGAACGACGAGAATCAATGTAACATAAGTTTCAAGATACCGATCTTTAATATATGGATTGGTAAGCGATAAGAACACGAAAGTTCAACATCGAAAAGTTAAGCTCACGAAAAATAATGAAGGGTATGTAGAGTGCTGGTGGGGATGGAAATGTATAGAAGACTAACACCGGTACCCACACCCACGCCATCAAGTCTTTTACATGATACAAAGCTGATAAAATACAGGCATTCTGATTGAATCATTATTCTGTCAAAAGCTAAAAAAAAATACCTTTTTCTATTTTTATTGACCTTTTGTATAGCTTAGAAATATATGCAATTTTCACTTGATTATTAATTTCATCAGTAAGGATTACAAATAAATTTATAGTGTTCGAAAGTAGCTTCATATTACTTTAGCAAAAGAAATTTCTTAAGCAGTGAGTAATTGTTTGTGCAAGGATAGAAAGTCATAAACAGAACGAGAAAAAATCGATAAGATATATGGATACTGATACCTACACCTTGCTTATATTTATTCTGTTTTTACTTGTGTCACATGGCTAGTAACGATGAATATGAAATTGTTCTGATAGAGAATGAAATAGATGCTTGTTTATGCGCTAAACTACTTGCAGAAGAATTTGCTGCACACAATCCTTTATCGATTTTTAATCAAGCAACAGCCAAGCAATCATTCGATCAATGGGCATGGCCATTTATGATCAATGCACTTGATAAAAAATTATCATTCCTTATAGGACATCGTTCAACGAATGAAATTGTTGCAGTAATCATAGCCAGTAATCTATTTTTATATTGTGAAAAACATCCATATGATGCTTCTAGCCCTGCATCTCATCACCCAACGAACGATTTATTAGCAGAAATGCTTGATCAATTTATTCATCGTGATTTTAACCAAGAATTATAACCGAATACGGTCCTATATATTATAGCTGGTGCAACACGATCTAAACATTCAGGTAAAACGTTAGGCGCTCAACTACGTACACATGTATGTACTCATGCACGAAATACAAAAGGATTTCAATATGCATTTATACAAACATGTAATCCAGCAACACGTCATATCTATGTTAAAAGAATGAATGGAAAAGAAATGACAATTCTTGATCCAGCAACTTGGGTGTGGAAGAAGAAAGATGATGGTTTATCATGTCCATTTACAGACTATAAAGACGAACCAATTGTTAATATTTTTCTCAATCTGACTAAACAACAATAATATAAATGAAGATCTGTTTTGCTGTTCGCATAAATCATATTTGAAACTTTTAATCGATCAATAATAAATGAGAATAAATGTTAGAATACTGACAGGAAAGATTATTATCTTTTAAGTTTTCCTAATATATGTTCTCTTCAATTTTCCCCCTAGGAGGGTGCAGTCAAAAATTTTACGAATAAAAAAGCTGAGCAGAAGAAGGGCGAACAGTTTGATCAGAAATATTACACAATTAAATGTTGAATTTTCGATGTATTTATTCATGATGATATCGAAAATCACGCTTATTTTCAATCAAAACTAACTTTTGATAATCGAAACCTAGAAATACTACTCTTTTTTTTGTGCGAAAATGATCCTGCTCTAAAAATAATAGTTTTTTATTAGCACTGGAAAGTCTAAGGTTTGGATCAAAAATTTTGATATTATAACGCTAGCCATGCTACAAAAAATTGACTTGGCTTATGTATACTATTTTATTTAATCATTTGCTGCAAATTCTTACCTACCAAAATGACTTTCATTCTTGAGAAGTTTTGAATCATAGCTTTGCGTAATATCATTTTTTTTAATTATTTTGATAGACTGTGTGAGAGCACACTGAGGATAAAATCTTCACATTTTAACATTGAATTATTGTGAAGTTATGGGCTAAATAATGTTTTTCATGTACTAAAAAAGCTTGTTAACTCTTTCTCCCCCATTGATATCTATGGACACCATTTTTTTAAAGCTTCGTTCTCTTGAGCTATAAGACATACAGAAACTAATTTGATACAAAATTAAGGGCACATCTATTGTAGATTTTATGTCAAAAATCCGAGCATAACATTTTTCGTAAAGCCTTTATTTGCTGCTCAGGCATTATATTATGTTATGACAGGTGCTGAAGCCTTGGCATTAGGGTGTTAACGCGTGATCGATCGAATAGATCAATACTGAACTTCATTGTATTGTCCCAACGATCACGAAGTATATATATGAACGAGTCAGAAAGAAACACGAAAAATAACCAGCACTTTTCGCTAAAAAAAATGCAAACTTTGGCTTTCTAATCTCGAAACTAATCATTTCCAATTATATCATCAATTAGAAGAATAGAATTTCCAAAGTCTATTTTACACACTAGAACAAATAATGCTTTACAAGATGAATGCAATTTTTGTATGCTTACGATACTAGTATTATTGTATTCATTTTGTTGTAAGTTTCATAAGTTTTTCTACACAATAAAATTTACTTAACCTTTAAGAGAGGGTCAACGAGAGCACCGACCAACGCTGCCATACAAAAATTTTTTTTTGGAATAAGTTATATCACTTGAAAGCCCACGAAAAGTTATTCTTAAATCCGAATTTTTAGCTCTTTCTGCAAATCTTATCACGAGATATAAAGAGATCTTTGAACCCATCCTCAAGTGTTATGTTATAAGTTTGATAAATTTTCAAGAATTCGATTTAACACTTCACAACATATTTTACTATTGAACACCCCACCTTTTTACTATCCTTTAATGTATCTTGATTAGATCTATTAAATATGGTGTGTGTGTGTAGGGCATGGATAAACGAAAGACCCACATCCACACACCCGCACCCAACGTTCACATAAACTATCGTATTCCGAGCAAATTCCTTTTTGATAATATGGGTATGGGTGTGAATGCGGATATTTCGTTCAGCCATGCCTTGCACCCCACACCGACACCCACACGCTGCGTCTACTATTTAGGTAGTTATTTAATCAGTTCTCAAAGTATATAGGTAATAATGAAAGCCTTCTTAAGCTCGATCGAGTTCACTTTCGAATATTTCTGAACTTCGTTAACATTTTCTTTGAGAAAATCTAATTCCTTTTTAGCTTTTCTGTCATTTACTTCATTATCTATAGACCTACCTTACCTATACATAAAACCATTTCTTTTGGTTTACTTCTACTTTCTATTTTTATTGATTAATTGAAAATGATTGCATTGAAAATCGAACGGTGCATTATTTACCATAGGTATGCTGTTGTAGCGGAGTATACAAAATAAGTCAATAGAATCTTCGAAAAAATACTATTCTTTTAGAGCAACTTGATCAAAAAAAAAGAAAGCACTCTTGATGATGAATTGTAACTTGAGAATCAATCAAAGATTATGTAATAATAATAATAATTACAATTCAACTTTCTATTATCTTTCCTGTTACTAATAATAAAGACATTTTCTAGCTTCACAAAAGTATTAGCTAATCTAACTGAAGGTTTCTTTGAGTATACTCTTATTGAACAGAAAAATGTTTTTCGTAGACTTTCTGCTTGGGTTAACATGTGCAATTATTGAATGGATTCTAAGGGCAATAATAAAGCATGGAAAAAGGGAGAAGCGCTAAAAGAATAATATAGGACAATCTACTAGTAAAGAGATTCACACTAATTATTGTAACCCATGCTTTTTTACTTACTCTTAGTTTTAGGTGTGCAACCATTATTCAGCTATATACAAATGCTAAAAAAACGAGCATTTTATCAATAATGGGACTAAACTTATAAATTTTCTCAGCCAAATCAATTTTAATGGAGGCTTCGATCAAAAACCTACTTTTTCACGTACAAAGGCTTCTCTTTTTAGATGTTTTCATCAAGAATATTTCTCTTACAATCATCGAAATTAGCAGAAGAATTTGAGTGAAATGTGCTCCGTTGCTCGAAAATATTTTTCTTACAGATCTAAACGAAAGTTCACTACTTTTGTTCTTTTCGTTCATGAAAACGCATTCTGCTAACAAGTACGTCTCCTACCGTAGAAATATATAGACAGAATCAGAATTATTGCAAAGGTGTATAGGGAAAACTTGGGATAGACATAATAACTTACATTCCGTCTTTTTTTATAGTGGGCTTCACATATTTTCGTAGTCATGATACTTCCTTCGCAATTTGTAAAAGACATATATGTCTCACACTTCTGAGGGTGTAGGTGTATGGCAAGAGATTACATACAGCGCACGCCTACATACACCCTGTGATACAATTGATTATAAATGCAGAAAATATTTTTTAGTGAAGATCTTTATAACAAGTATCATCTTCTATTAGTGGGCATTTCTACACGAGTCTCATCAGCGTGCTTTCTACTATATTTCCAGGCACTTGCAGATGAAAAAAGGGTCTTGCTCTTGCTATTCATTTCAATCGTGCTTTGCACGTCAGCGATAAATTCGTCTTGCTCACATCAAGGTGTATCAATGATCGATTACATTCGAGCATGTTAATAATTGCATCGACACATTCATCACCAAATGGATTTTCGACGAGAGTTAGAGTTTCAAGCTTCGAGTGGTGAGAGCCGATGGATGTAGCAAGCAGTTGAGTTCCTCGTCCCGTAATTTTATTATAGGAAAGCCGCAAATGCGTGACATTGCTATTACTGCTTGAGAGCATTAGAGCCAAATGCCTAGCGCCTTCATCTGTGATCAAATTACCACTTAGACCAAGATCAGTTAATATTGTCTTGTTATTATTAGTCATCAATACTGATTGTGCAAGTGAACAAACACCATCGTCTGTCAAATGATTGAAGCCGAAATCAAGCGTTTGCAAATGAGAAGAAGGAATTAAATTTGCGATCACTCGAGCACCTCGTGCCGTGATCCAATTGGACGACAGATCAAGCTGCGTGCATCGCTTTTTGAACACTGCTTGTTGAACCACCAATAACATATCAAGATCGGTCAGATAGTGTTGACTTAAGTTAAGAAGTGAATCAGACTGATATTTAGCAATAAGTGCTTCAAGTTAAGCATTCTGATAATTATCTCTACTAGTGTTGTGTTGTAATTGAATACCAGAAGACGGTGTATGTAGAAGTAGGGAAAAGGGGAGTTCGACTTGTTTGAGGCGGATGATATGCGTATCGATCAAATATTTTTGACGGCTGACCACATGAAAGTGAGTCGCAGGCAATAAAACAACTTCATACTCTGTTGATCGAAATGAATGTCGGCTGACATCTTTGCCTGAATGGCCATGTTTCTATTTCAAAAATACTTAAGTATATGTAGATAAGAAGTTGATAAAAATTTAGACTGAAGAAAAAGTGCATCGCTAAAAAAACCAAATATCTTTGCTCTTGAAATCAGTTGACATCTGCTTATAAAATGATTTTAAAAAAATATAATCCTTATGCGACCACGTTAGTTCGTGCGGACTTCCGACGAAATAGAATTGTTTAGAAGTGTGTGCAGTTCTACTGTCAAACTAGCAATGAGTGGCTGTGACCATAGACACGTACCTACACCTACACCTTTCTGATCTCCAGCCTCCTTAAGATATGGAAAAAAACTTTCAAAAAGGGCTAGAACTATAAGTCTATCTGGTATTTTGGTGCTCAAACCGATGTTTTTAACCTCATATTGCATAGATAGCTATCTAAAAAGCTCTAGCAAAGCATTCTTTAGGTTCAAGTTTTGGAGGTCTTTCAGAATACACATGAATAAGACCCATCAGGAACACTCAACTATTTATAACTACACCATACATCAAGGATAAGGATATAATAAATTTGATGCTCTATCCAAATATGCCATTGTGTTGCTAAGTAAGGGCCAACAAGAAGTGCAAAACTACGCAATACGACCAAAAATAGCCTATTTGAAGGTGAGCAAGTCAATGTGGAATGTTAGTCTTCTCTTCACTTACATCGAAATTATTGCTTGAATCAGCAAAGTATTTTTCTGTAAAACAATCAATCATGTCCTATTCTCCTCTTTGTCTTTCGAACAATACTTTTCTGAAAGTATTATGCATTGTTTCATTTGTATGTTGCTATGAAAAGAAAGAAATAATGGTTTTCAATGCAAAATACTCAGACTTCTACTTTAAAAAACAAAACCATCAAGTCTTCTGTTCCAGCATATTGATTGCACATGGTATCAGGGTGTCCGGAAAGTTCGTAGAACTGTATCCTAATTGCATGTATGAAACGTTTAGTTCATGTTATTGTGCAAAAAGTGAAT